AGCAATAGCCTTCATACTTTTGTATATACCTGCTTAGTAGGGCTTTGCCCCCCCCAAAAGCGGTGTTCTTTTTTTTATACAAAGTCAGCTTATTGCCCCCACAATCCGGGTCCTCATTTTACCTACCTCGGAAGGATGGAAGGCTGAGTCAACTTTGAGCCTGGTGAGATTTGAACTTGCAGTAATTGTGCTACTTAGCAGCACTTTGGTCTGCTGCGCCACCAAGGCTCCTTTATTTAACGCAATATTCAAAGGCAATATCCAAAACTCCTAAAACTGTTCTGCCCCAGCTCCGGATTCCCAAGGATTGTGACACACACCAATGATCCTTATCAAAGTTATAACATACCAAGAATAAACAAAGTCCGGCAAAGGTTGGCAACCAGCCCAGAAAACAAGATATGATAAGACATTCACTCTCCAAAATGCTCTGTAATAATTACATGTTGTTTCCAGCAAGAAATTACTAACTGTGTGCGACTTAAATAGGCTAAGGGAGTGGCCAATTATCCTCAAACCTTACTCTCGAGGAGACCTCCTCCTCCTGAGTATCCACTCCTGCCTTTTGGCAGCCCTACGTGCTCAAGCATTGAGGAGAGGCTCCTCCACTTTGCTCTCTCCACTTGAAGGAGCCTCTGGAGGTTCTGAAGGCCCAGGCTGAGTCTCTCTGCCTCTGGCACCACATCCTCTTCAGCCTCCTCGCTGTCCAATGAGAGCGCCGGCTGTGCAGGGTGCTGGCGCGACCCCACACCAGCCTCCTTGTCGTCGGGATCAGCCACGATCCATGCAGGCCGCTGGTGGGCCACAACAAAAACAGAGAAATATAATGTATTGTGAAAGTCACTCTAATTTTTTTCCATCTGGCTAAAATCCTTGTCTAAATCTTAATCTTTCTCTCCACCTGTCGTACCAACTAGCTGAATAAAAGTCTCAAGGAATTCAATATTTTGCACGCTGTCCACGGTGAAACCAGGGTCCTCCTCTTAAAACAAACCAGGGTTTGTTGTAAGTGTTCCCTAAAGAGAAAGACAAACAACCCGAAAGAATTCCAGAAACAGTCCAGAAGCCGAGCGCCTGCCGGAATTTAGGGGAATATCTCTGTTATCAAATACACAAGGAAAGGTCAGGAGGCAGAGTACAGATATAGCCTTCAGCAATGACCGCTGGAAGAAGCAGAGCCCTGTGGGCAGCCTCCACGCTCAGACTGAAGCTCAGACTGGCCATTTCCTTTATTCCCCACGAGGCCCGCCTGTCTCCTAGTTGAGCTTTCCCTTTGAGCCTGGACCTCCCTTTGCCTGGTTCCCTCAAGGCCAGCTGCTCTTTCAGGCTCAGGCTCTGCACTGGCCCTTCAGCCGCAGCTGGACCTGAGTCGAAGATGGCCGCTTTCCTGGGGCATCTGAATTAGGGCCGAGAAGGCTCTCTTTTTTTCACTTCAGCCTCCCACCCCTCCCGCTGACGGTCCGCATGAGGCCGTGGGATGAGGTCATGGGCTGGCATGGGGTCAGCTATCATCACTGATGGGCTGATGATGCTCAACTGTGTATCCCGACTCTCTGACCAGAACAGAGGTGGTCAGGGATGCCCGGAGGTCGTGGGGTCTGGATGGAACTTTCCAGTTCTGCTTCCGAATGGGGAGAGCAGGGGGGCGCTGTAGCCACAAAGGCCTCGACACAGGTTAATCTGGAGTCCTAATTACATCTAGAGTATTCCTGAACTGGGGGGGGAGGGGAGGGCTGGAATCTCACTCATCACTCATGCCATGGCTATTTCATGTATGGACTACTGCAATGTGCTGCAGGTGTGGCTGCCCTTAAAGACTGTTTTGAAGCCTTCGCTGGCCCAGAAAGTGATGATGGCATTTAAGGACACCTGCTATGGGCTGCTGATGTAATGTCTCAGCTTTGCAAACTGCACAATAAGCTCCTGGGTGAAATTTGTGGCGGATTATCACCTACAGAGCTCTTAATGCCAGAGGGCCGATTATTTGAGGGGCTCCTGTTGTTTCTGCTCTGATCCTACAGTCAGCACGACCTGGATCTCACCCAATGAGCATCCCCTGATGGGACCCAGGAAGCCTGATCTCCATCTGAGTCATAGAAGCAGCCTGGTATTTCAGCCAACCCCGTTTTCCTTTTGTTGAGTCTTGGGGTCCTGGCTCAGTCTCCAGACTCCAGGCAGGCTTGGGACATGGAGTTCCTGGGGGTGGGGCACAGGGGGGTTCCTTTTTGTCTGCTCCACTAAGATGACCGTCTTCCTTTTTTGTCTTCTTGTCTTCTATTTCTCTGGCTTTAAGTTTATTTGTCAGCCAGAGACGTCTAGAGGTTAGGTGACTTTTGAAATATAAATTATGATATACACAAAGATGCTCTGAGCCAGCGGTGAAATCCACTTACCTTCGCTACTGGTTCGGGAATGGGAGCACACGGGAGCACCACTTCTGCACATGCGCAGAGGGTCAAAAATGGAACATAATGACGTCCTGGCGGGTGGGTGGAGCCTTCCGCCCCTGGTGTTACTAGTTCACGCGAGCCGGAGAGATCCGGCCGGATTTCACCGTGCTCTGAGCCCTGCAGAAAATGATTGCCGGTGTCATTATAGTGGGAGTAATTCTACTTTCTAAACCAAGAGGTATTAGCTTTGGAAGCATCCCCTTCACTGCCCTTGCCCTTTGGTGTTGGGAAGCAGCCGGGCCTTCCTGGGCTTGACCCAGGACCAGGCTCTTCAAGAGGGAAGCCGCTGTCCTGGCTTGCCTTTGGCACCATGGGATATCCCCACCGTTTCACTGACCACGCTTCCTTTCTCAACTCTTGTGAACAAGCTCCCTGCCAAGTCCTCGGTGGCTTCGAAAGGGACATCTGACTGGCCAGCCCAGCGAAGGCATGGGGGCCATGGGAAAAGCACGTCGCTGGTGTGTCCGGTGGCCTTGAGGGTTACCGATAGTTTGCCATTAGGCCTTTAAAAAGATGCTTAGATCAGCATCGCATTCCAGGATTGTCATGTTCACAATACTGTGCGTGTGTTTTTAAAGGACAGTGTAATTGGTTGTGGGTTGCCTGCGGCTGAGGCTGAGAGAAGCCAAGCTCATTTGCTTTGAGAGCCTGGCCTGAGGCCTCCGAAACGTTCAGAGCCAGGAGGGATCTTCTTGCAACCTGTGCAGAGAAGAGATCCAAGCTCTTCTGGTCTCACAAACGGCACAATGGCACCTCGACTGAAGTGCGAGATTACTTAGTCCTCCATTTCTCAATCAACAGCATGATAAGTCTGTTGAGTCTATCAGCTGCCACAGTCTTTATCCTCTCAGGAGCTGAAAAGTACTGTTATCGTGGCTCTCAAAATGGAGATTCTCAGGGATGTCCCAGGCTGCCCCTGATCCTTTGCCACAAATCTGTTCCGGAGTACAGAGGTAGATTACGGGTCCTGCCTCAGCCCTCCCTCTGATGCAGAACGAAGAACTGCCTCTCGGGACCTTCACAGGAGCAGGAGCAGGCCATCACGGATTCATCCGTTCTCTGTCTCGGGAAACTCTGTTTAAGCTCTGGCACTGCATTCTGCTCTGCAAGTCATGCACCTGAGTGATGGCCAAGAGAGTACAAAACTTTCCTTGACAGACAATGGTGATGATGATGATGATGACGATGACAACTATGAGGTCCTTGATTTTGCTGGACCAATACTGATAGGACCAACATTTTTGAGAGCGGTCTCTGGGATACAGCATTGATGTTAACATTCTTCAAGGATCCAAATACTTTTTCATCCCACCTGAGCAAAATTCTAGCTAAGCCACCAAGAGTCATTTTGATTGTGGAGGGATAGAAATGCAGGCAGTAGCAAAATACTGTAAATAATAAAATAAAATGGAGACGATATCAAGCTTTTGTGAGATCAGGATTTTGCTCTACATTAATCCTTTGTTTATCCAGCAGATTCACTTTCTCCATCTGAAACAAATACAAAGGCAAATCGAATCATACAATAGTATCTACTGTTGAATTCCCATTGGTGTAGATGGAACGTGGGGAGCTGGACGTCTTAAATAAAGTAGCTCAGTATTCAACAAGGGTATTCAACAAGGGTGAGAAACCCACGGAATCATCTGGGCTTTGGGGGGCTTCCTTGGTTCTCCCGGGTCTCAGGAGGGTATTTTGGCGATAGGCAGAATTTTTGTACCAATGGTTCCATCTGAATAAGGGTGTTGCTATAAAAACAAGGAAGAGGAACGGTTCAGTTCTTCTCACTTTGCTTTCAGAAGCAGACTCCACTTGCTGGCCCCTAATTCCAAACATGCAAGGATCTGGCCGGCCACTCTGGCTCCCTCTGCCTCTAAGACCAGGCTGTCCAAGGCCGCCTGCAGATTCTACACTCATGTACAGAAGTGATTTGGGCTGAAAACATCAACTTTTCTTTTCAAACAAATCACGTCTGCTGCCTTCAAAGTTTTGATGCTGCGAGCTGGATCTGCTTTCATCAGTTGTTGTTTTTCTTCCTTCTCTCTGTGGCATGAAAGAGGCAACTCTAGAGGCACATGACAAATACTGTAGGACTGGCACAAGGTCATCGGATCCCATACAAGAATGTCCCCTTATTGCTCAGAGGGAGAGGGGCTTCCCTTTGACCCCCAGTTCACAGCCCCCCTTATTGTGTATCTCCCTGCGAATCTTTTTAATAACAAAGCAGTACTCGGTGACACACGCTTGTTTGTCAGTTAACGAATATTTTGTCGTATTATTAAAATTGGAACCCGGTGTTTACTTCTCTGGGTCATGGACTGTTCTGTTCCTATTGGCTCCCAGAGCAGGGAGGGGGGAGGGGAGGGGCCCCCTCTTCCCTTTGAGAAGGAGCATGACCTGCGTCTGTCCGGCCCCAGTGATGAAATGTGCTATTTATGAACTGTCACCATGAAGACAATCATGTGTATAAGTCACGGGCACATCTTTGGTCATTATTTTTCATGGTGACTTTCATTCAACCCTTTTCAAGCTGTGGCTAACGGTATGAAAATGCAGGGATTATAATCTGAATCAGCCCTGGGCTCTGGCCAGTCACCGAACTTCGTCTTCTGTCCCTCGGTTTTGTTTGAAGCCCTGCCAGTAGCCAAGCTGGAGGTAAAAATAGCCCATGAGAAGCTGCCTGTTACTCGACACTGCGTGGTTTTTCTCCTACGTAGCTTTGCTCTTTCTCCCCCACCAGGTTTCTACTCGCCCAAGAGAGATTTAAGTGCGTTTTACGGACACTTTGGGTTTCTCGTTCAGCTCCTTTTTGCCGATTTGGGCAGATCTTGGCAGGGAAACGTTTGGCTCCCGCAACTTTTACAATCACAGCTCTCCTTCCTACTCAAAAGAAAGAACCCCCCAAGGATATAAATTACAGGAAGTGTTGTGGTTAAGCAAACTACGGAGACATTGAATGTGCCTGGGAAAATTGGATTGACTGAAGGCAGCACCATGTTCCTCGGGCCCTGATTTTAAGAGACCTGGACACCAAAGGTAAGACAAAGCATGGACACTCGGGGTGGGTTGAGCGGTTGCGCTCCCAAGAATAATATGAAAGCCTATAATGGAATACGGAATATAAACCATCTTAGGTTTTTTAGGTAGGACTATACCTCTGAATTATCCTTATCTGTATAATTCCACTCTCTAAACAGCACCTAAACTTTAATTTTCCATACACATTTCTCCTCCAATTAAGTCAAGTATTGGTCAATAGATCTATGCAAGGTCACTTGGGATCTTGGAGATCGAGAGAACCTATTTCTCAAAAGCATGTATAGAACTGACTCTTCAGTTTATTAAAATATATTTTATTTAGTGTCCTGTCCTAAATGCTGTTTATCTCTCAGGTTGAGGGACCTATTTGACACATATTTTTGTCAGAACAGAAACTTATTTTCACTTAAATACTCTAATTCACTAATAATGTGAAGGAAAAAAAATATGAGACTGTTAATTATCAAGTATTCTCAATAGGTTGAATTTCTCAAATCCAATTGTCAATGATTTTATTTAGTTATGTCCTGAAACTGTTTAATATAGAAGTAAATGAGCAATTTCTCACGGTTTTGAAAAAAGCTCTGTGAAATATTAAACGCACTAATATTGTTCACAAACATGGGTATATAAAAGATACTTGTGTACCGCCACATGAATTACTTTATTTAGGGCAAAATAAATCAACTGAAAATGGAGATGCCTTATTTTCTTGCGACTGTATCCCCGGCTAACTAAATGAATCCCTTGGGGCTTTTGTCAGTTCCTGAATCTAGCCCAGCCCAGGGCCCTTCTTCTCAGGCCAAAGCCCCACGGAGTCCTCGGCCCTTGCCTGTCCAGCGCCTCAGCCATGAAGCCACGGGGCCTCAAGCAAGCCCTTCCTTCTCCTGCCCCTTTCTGCAGACTTTCTAGTGGGTTCTGCCACCCTTCCCCAGCCAGGATCGCCAGGGGATGCATCTCTTGAAAGCAATGAGGCACAAACTCCTGTTGCCCATCAAACAGGACCCTTTGTGGGTGCTCAGTGGGAGGAAACTCCAATCCCAAGGAAGTTTACTTACTTATTACTCTCAAGAGCAATACCTTATTAATTTATAATTAGATGAACATTTTTTTTTCCTTAATGAACTTTGATCATGATTTATTCCCTGCATTTATGGCCTGTTTAAGTCTATCTACAAATGGACTTGATGTTATTGCACAGAATAAGAGCAAACAAAATGCCACAAAACTAGCCGTCAAACAATTCACCAGGAAGGGACTGCGGTCGACCAAAGCTGAAAGTCGTGGTAGCAACCGAGGAGGGAAATCCTTGAAGTGGGAGCCACACTTGAGAAACCGAATCCATGAATCCTCCCGTCTCCTAATAGAGGTTGTTAGTCTCATGTCTGTGTCCGCTTCGGTTGGTGCCAATTACAGCTGAGCGAAGGTCTATTGAGAAGGAAAGTCGGTTCCTGCCAGAACCCGGTGATATTAAGAGCTGCAAAGCACGGCCCTCTCGCAGCTTAGGTTAATTAGTAGAGCAGATTGCTCCAAGTATAAGGCAGTACACCTTTTACGCCTTTATGCTATTTGTGTCTTTGTGCATATGGCCTTTAATCATTCATCAGATCTAATTCAGTGGGCATCAAAATGATGCTGTCACTATCCGCAAATTCAGTGAGTCAAAGACAAAATAATGGCTAACCCAGGAAGAGAGATCCTCCAGCTTTCAGGCTGTTTGTGTCCAACCAGGCGCCTCACAGTGTGGCCTCCATCCAAATCACCACCTCCTTGGCCATTTTAAGGAGCCGTGAGAGTCTTTCCCAGGGCTTCCCGCTGCCTTCACAGCAAATTCTCTTCCTAGAGAGAAAGGCAGAAAAATAGAACATAGAACAAACGGGTTGGAAGGGACCTTGTGGTCCAACCCCTTCCTGAGCAGGAGTCCTTATTCCATCCCAGACAAATGGGTGTCCAATCTCTTCTTGAAAATCTCCAGTGATGGAGGACCCACAACTTCTGGGGGCAACTTCTGTTCCACTGGTTGATTGTCCTCAGTGTCAGGAACTTTCTCTGTGGTTCTAGGTTGGATCTCCATCTGATGATCTTCCATCCTTTCACTTCTTGTCCCACCTTCAGGTGCTTTGGAGAATAGGACCCGCTCTTCATTGTGACAGCCCCTAAAGTATTGGAAGACCACCATCATGTGACTCCTTTTTTTAAAAAAAATAGTTTTTATTAAGCATTTTTCACCTTTAAAAACAGGAAAAAAACAGAAAAAACAGTAAAAAACAAGACAAACATAACAATATATCATATTTTTACAGCCTTCTGCATCAGCATGTACAGTCTGCATTTATAATTAGCTCTTCTATTTTACCTTTCTATCCTTTATAACAATTTTAACAGCTATTATAACCATACAAGCTACTTATATTTACATTATACTAGCTAGCTCCCACAACCATTCATCCTAGGAATGATTATCCCTCCAGGCCCCTGATAAGCTTTGTTGCTCTTCTCTGCACTCTTTCTAGGGACTCTGCATCTTTTTTTGGTAACCAGAACTGATAACCAGAACTGGACACAGAACAGGACTAGCCCTTCTTGTGATCACAATCCCAAAGGTGCTTTTTTCAAGAGGCAACTGGACTTTCTGATTTTTCTTTGAAGATGTTTCGCCTCTCATCCAAGAATCTTCTTCATCTATTGGATGAGAAGCGAAACGTCTTCAAAGAAAACCAAGAAAGTCAAGTTGCCTCTTGAAAAAGCACCTTTGGGACAACCGTGGCCTGGATGACTGAGAATCTCCATCGACATTGAGATCTTGATATTGTCCCTCTGTTGATGCAGCCCAGGACTTCACCAGCTTTTTTGGCAGCTGCAGCACAGGGCTGGCTCATACTGAAGTGGTGGCCCACTAGGATGCCTAGATCTCTCTGTCCCCACCGTTGAGAAAATCCTTGAAGTATCTGTCCTTGTGTCATTCATGAAAAAGTATCATTCGTACTTTATTTTTAAACGGGGACGATAAAGGATGGATAAGCTCCAACAACTCAAAAGTGCCATGCTGCCTTAAAGCCACCCTTCTCTCAAGGGTGCGTCCACATCCAAGCTTTCAGAGTAGGATGTGGAGTGAAGCTGGTTCTGGAGGACTTCCTGACATGCGAAGGAAGGATGAGGGACTGCCCCTGTTCCATACAGGGTGAAAGACAAGGGAGGGAGGGAGGGTGGCACCCTTCAGCCTCCAGAGAAATCTCACAGGGCCCCTGGATTTAAACACTGCAAACGGCACTTGGGGTTGTGGCTGGGGCTTTTTGTTTCTTTGTGTTGGTACCCTAAGGGTATCTAGTCTACGGAGTTGGACATGCAAATCTTTAAGTTTGGCTAACACCAGAGAAAACCAAGTAAAGGTTTATAACAGCAATAAATGAAGAGAGTAGGACTGAGGCAAATAAAAAGTACTGAATAAAATATTTTAATTGCCTTTCATCCCCCAAGGCCATATACAATTTTAAGAACCATCTCAAAACTACCAATTTAAAGTAGAACAGAACAATCTTAAAATATCAAAGAGCTGGCTTTAAGAACAAATTAAATGAAACAAAAGAAGTTTTACAAGCCACCTGCCTGGCCCAAAAGGACCGAGTTTAGCTCCCTAGGTAGGCGATGTCCGCATCCCAGTGGAAAAGGCCTGTCCTCCTTGGTGGCTGCACTCAAGGGTGAAACGGCCCTCGGATGACCACAAGTCCAGGGGCAGGAAGAGAGTCCTTGTTTCACAGAGCAAACCAACTCACTTGGATTTGCCTCGGATGTTGGCCCAGAATTCCCCCAGAAGGACACCGTCCTCACCAGCTAAAACATGTTGAGTAGATCTGCTTGAAAGACATTGTGCTTGCAGCCAAAAAAATATGTCCTACCAGACTTGAGATCTTCTTCCTTGGGATGTTTTGCCTCCTGCCCCAAATTACTAAGCTACCTTCCATACATTCAACAGCATGGGACTTTCCTGGGACTCTCTCGGAACCTCTTTTCTTTATGATTGCCCAGCTTCTCACCATCTTTCTACATCTTTCTAACCTGCAGCGCTACAGAATAGCTCACTTTTTCCAGAAACTTCCACTGGTCCTTCTCCCCACTCATCTTGTTTCGCTTATTTTCCTAAAATAGAGCAGGGTAGAGCTTTTCTTGTCACCTCCCTTTTCCAATCCCCCTTTCCTCAGTTCTGGTTCTGCACACATTTCCCCTTTTGGGAAGGAAGCCCAGATAGCAGATTAAGGTTAGTCATGTGTTGTGCAGGCCTGGAAGATGGAATGTGCTCATTCTCTGTATAACTTTTCACACACACAAAGACTTCTGATTCTCAATTGTTGACTATGGTCACAGCCAGAGTGAAAGAGTACATTACGTCTTAACTATGTCAAAGGTTTCCTATGGACTATGTTAGTTTCCAACACTGATTCTAAGATATTAAGCAACTTTTCAGTTTAAATTTTCAGCTTTTAAATCTCTAGAGCATAAAGTGCAAGGTGTAAATTGTAAATTGTAAGGCTGTGCTGACAATTAAACCATTGTTTATTCAATTAACTCAATACTCAAGATCCAGAAGAAACATTAAGTCATAAATGACCAAGAGGGCTGAGTTTTTACATTGAGTAAGATGAAATGTGTCTGGCTATTTTGCAGTTCAGAGTGTCATATGAATGTAGGCAGAGGTCAAAACAATATCAAGAATCCTAGTTTTTTATCTTCTTCCTGGGAAGAACTTCTTGATCCAGGTTGCAGAATTTAATTTTCATTGACAGAGGCTCCCACTAAAAGAACAAGAGTTTGCAAGGTGACATTGCAGGCCATTCTCACCGTGATCTTGGTTTGTCGTGTTGGAGGTTGTCACAGACAATGTTGCAGGTAGTTGTTACTGTTGTCAACAGGTAGGTTGTCCTCTCCATTTTTTCTAGCTCAGCCAATGTTTTTTTTTAAAATCCTATGATTGATAAGCAAAAATGGTGAAGAGGCCATTT